TACTAGATCAGTATTCATTAAACAACATTGAGTCAGCAATTGTTATCAGATAAGACAACAAAAATATGAACAGAATGCTTATGTTTAACAAATTTTATGTTAGCTCAAAAAAAAGATGACTATAACGATTCCATTTTGAACAATAGTGACTTTTTAGCGATACATAAAAAAAAGATGACTTAAGTGACTAAATGATAACGCCTTTAGGACGATGGCATCAAACTACTGATAATACGTGGCAAAACTATACTATATGTTGTGAACTGTGTTAAATTAAACTAGGGCCATGTTAAACTATGTTTGACTTCTAAAATCGATTCTGAAAGATAACAAGAGAGTTACAATTTTTAACTATTTACCTCACGGTATATATCTTTTAATTAAGCTTTCACAAAGTCAATCTAAATCCGTGACACGTTTAATGTAGTAACGATCGCGTTTCATTTACGTGGGCGCCTCGGCACAATTCATGTTGATTGGAGCGCGTTTCACTTGGCTGGTTAAAACTGTCTGACAAGAGCATTCTCGATAAAAACGAGAGCGACGATCTGTTGTCCGGCGACAATCGGGCATTGAATCATTCATAATAAAGTGATGTAATAATGATATTCACAAAATCGGATAAATCGGAAATAAATACATAATGATTTTCAATTCTTATTCAAAAACGTAATCGTGTGAAATAGCATTTATAAATCTTTCTATTGTCATAAACGTTTTCAAAAAATTATTATTATTCAGCACTTTTTATTGATTTTATTGACTTTATTGACTTTTATTAATCGACAAATATTAATATATTTAAATCGAGAAGCATTTATTGATTAAAAAAGAAGAGAACATTATTAATGGAGTGCTGATTTAGTAATAATACTTCTCTCACATATCTCTCGTTTTATCTTTCTCATTTCTGCTACTTTTATCGATCACCTCACTTAACCGCAATGTAAAAATGCAATCTCAACCTTCGCCTCTCACTCTGTGAAATCTCTCTTCGCGTAGAAAGAAAAAGAGAGAGTGCGAGAGAGTGAAAGAAAGAGACAATCGTATTACTTGTTGATACCTAATGCCTGTGAAGAAATAAAAGAAGGACAATTTTAATCAAATTATTACACACACATTTCTTATTTGTTTCTTCATCTAAATGTTAATATCTGCGCAATTCTCTCTGATAACTCCAAGGAAAAGGTCAGAAACGTTTTGATTACAATTCACTTCGACGTTCTTTCAATCTATCTTACTTCTTTCAATCTAATGTCGACAGCGAGGAGAACGCCAGATTATATAATAATAAAGTTGAAATTAACTGTTACATGTTACAATGGTTATAACGTTTGTAATAACAGTTATATTACATGCTCCAGCGTAAAGTACGGATACATGTATTCATATCCATAAAGCTAATGAATAGATTAATGTTCGAACGTTTAATTGCTCGAAGCAGCGGGATTCCGGCAAATATTGATCTTTCCAGTAGAATAATTACGATTCCTCCTAATTGAAAGGATTTACCTTCTAGATGCCTTCCCGCCTACATCGCTTCAATTTCCGGTGCCTCGCACTAACGTCGTTAACTAATGCGGAAGCAATTTCCTTTATTAACTGCCGCTCTTCTGTACTCTAACGAATTTCAAAAATACCGGCGGAATGGCGGTACTATTTTTCAACCTCCTTCCTGTTCTACTTAATTTACTTAATTAGTATTATAATATAAGTATATACGGACATTGTGATAGGAAAAGTATAGCCAACGACAAATTATCGATCTAAGAATAAATTATCGAAACAAATTATTGATATAAGAAAGAATAAAATGAAATTTTTACACACTAACACTCTATTTGCTCAACTAGCTTAAACGTTACTCTTTTTCTATAAAGACCACGTCAATTTTTGTGAGAGCTTGTTAATCACGGTAGTCAAAAGGACCGGTTTGCCATGTATAAGTGGTCTTTAACCTGCTGATAGTTACGTCTCGTCATACATATAGGTCGATTATATAATATAACATGATTTCTCTCTATTGATTTATGACATTCGCGATAGAAGATATCACACTAATTGCAGTTCAAGCTTTACACTATTTTTATATCCCATATATATTTTTCTCATAAAATTAAAATTTTATTATTGATCTCTAATTGAAACCAAGTATCCAATTATGTGTCATTAATTATCTACAGATCAAGATTTTATCAAACGTTTCTACTAGTATTTTTATTTGCTTATACTTTATTTCTTACTTAGCACACTGAGAGAAAACCTGTTTGCTTATTGCAACTATAATTGCATAAAATAATTATCGTTACTATATATACTACAGTTATTATTGCTATAATTTTTTAATGATAATAATTATATTTATAACTTTACCAAAAAAATGTATCATTAATCTTTAATCAAATGATTACAATTTACAGTTAAATTATGATAATTGCATTTTTTTTTCTCAATACAGAAATCTTCGAGCGTATGATAGTTTCGATCGTACTAAATAAATAATTCAATCCTGATATACTTCGATGAAACGAGCTCACGTTCTAGAATAAGCCGTGCCATGACATTCTCCATCCCTTTTACGGAAAGTTACGATTTCACGAATTTCCGGTCGCGAAATTACTGGCAACAAATAAGATTGACATCCTGTCGAGAGACTCACGAATTTGAATATCGTCGATCGTTCCCACGTTTTCCCCTGATCTTAGTTTTCACTCTCGTCGTGTCTAAACTCCTCGATAATTAAAACATACAAACTGATAGATACAAAGATACTTCTAGGGAGATTCTCACATTTCTTTTCATCTGCATTCAGCCTTGCTCTTTTGTGAATGTTTCACGAAACAGTTATGTTCCTTAAACTCATCTCATAAAATTTGCACCAATAAAAAAATAGATTTTTCTATGTAATTTTAATTATTTTAATTTCTATTTTAATTATTCTACATTTATTACAATTAAATAATCAGCATGAATAACGAATAAATAATAGATCATATATTTTTATATTAATTAATTCCATACTTGAGACTAGAACCAATTCAATATTTAATTAATAATGTTAATGGTGAAACCATATCATGTTTATTAATTTGATAATTCCGGTCAGATATGTATTGATTTTGTCTCACAGAAGCACTCAACCGAGAGCTTTATTTTGAACTACAGGATGTTCTCCACGGATTGTATATAAAATTGCGTGGCTCGGTATTTCTATAACATGGACGTGATCCACTTAACCTTTAGCTCATGCATACGCCCACATTTTTTTCAACATTTTGCGCAACTAAAGAGCGAGATTAATAATGTCAAATAGTTGCGCGGGAAAAAGCGCCGTCGGAGTAAATCGTTTTTCCCGTTTTATATATTTACGATGCCGCGCACAGAACAACATGTAATAAAATCCCAACGACAGGCAGCTATTCTGGACCGAAATTTTTTACAGCGTGATATTTACAGTCGTGCAAAAAGTCTGAAAAAGGAGGAAGTAGCATATCGAATTGCCAGTTACATCGGCAATGACCAAAGTTACGCATACGGAAAATGCAAATTTGTCGACAAATAAAAATCTTGGTCACCTACCTATCCACTTTCTACAAGAGACGTTCTAATTATTAAATGTATTATCTTTTACATTGCGGTCAAACAGACGTTGGCCTCGTAATAAACATAAAGAAAGTCGCGAATATTAATGACGGCGTTTAAAACAATCACTATGTTACGACGTCAGTTACGGAGAACATGACTGTCGAAGGAACCAATTTTCCCACTAAAAATTATTATTTAAATTAAATCGATACCTTTCTCTAAATTGTACTCTGTACTGACAAGAGAAAAATATCAAATTTTATGCTATATTTTTAAGCATAAAATAATTTAGAATAAAAGATAATATCGCAGATGTCATTGGTATAATAAATATATTTTAAAACCCTGCGAGTGAATTTAAAACCTCGCGAATGAATTTAAAATACAACGTTAATTGACATTAAGTTGACTGTGAATTTTTTAATTATTTTTTAATCTGTATTAGAATTCAAAATCAAGATTTTAATTTACTTTTAAAATATCAATTAAACAGTTTGATTTTAATGATGAGATTTAGCACCTATTTATAATTTACTATACACACATGTAGTATCAACTCCACGTTTCACTTTCATTGTTTACTTCGCGGAATCATTAAGTCACAAAAATGCGAACTCCATTAACACTTGTGCCATTTTCTCTTTCACAACAGTTTCTCGAATTCTGTAAAATAGGAAGACTATTACGACAACATCGAGATTGAAGCAATCTCTCTACTGATTTTTCCAGTGAATTCGTTTAATGGTCGAGCCTCGTTCGACAGTAATGACATCGTCCTAAATTTTTTTTCCTTGTTCCTTCATGTAATCGCATTCAATGGCCGGCGATTAAATTACGCGCGGTATCGTGCTTAACTGATTAACATTAACTAGAGGAGACGATTATACATGCAACACATTTAACGACGTCTCATTGACTAGTGTCATCACGATGATTTATTGGTGGGTCAATCGTTGAAAAATGCCACTTCACGTAGCGAAAGGAGGTCGTGGTAAAATATTTGCCAGTCAGCAAAACAGATTTTATATATATTGTACTTAACATATGAATGCAAGTATCTATCGTATCTCGGATCGATAATTGTATTCTCAAATCATTTTCAGTGTTAAATATTTTTTTAATTATGTTAATTATACTAAAGAATTTGAGAAGAATTTTCAAATTTATTTTATAGTAATTGTAATTGACATATTTTAACGCAAAATAAAATCATTTTGAAATGTCGAACAAAAAATAAGATTTTAAAACTTTACACTTTAGTTCCAAAATACTCTTGTCTCAATTTCGTAATTTTATTGACAGAAAAATTAAGAAACAAAAGTGATGATTTTAGAAGATTTGAGATGAAAAACAATATAATAAACAGTATAATAAATAATTTTAAGTTGCTAATTGCAATTGTTAAAACCTTGCAGATTTGACGATGGTCATGATGGCTTCCTCGATCTTACCGAACTGAAGCGAATGATGGAAGTTTTGGGTGCACCGCAAACGCATCTTGGACTCAAAGCGATGATCCAGGAGGTCGACGAGGATGGCGACGGTCGCATATCTTTCCGTGAAGTTAGTTTATTTTTACTACCTTCGAGAAATCTTTAATATTTGGAACTGGCGAACAGCATGAGGAATGATCTACGATCATCTGAACGATGAATATTAATCATTCTTCTTTTGAGAGGAACAAAAGAGAGGAATGTTATTAATATGTAAAATCCAATTTCTATAATCAGATTTTTATTCTGTTTTACTAAGAAGAAAGTAAAACCATGATTTTGCACTAATTTTCAATAATTATATTTTAATAGATTTAAATTGATAACAACAAGAATAACAACATTTGCGAATTATGTTTATTAATAAACTGCAGAAATTAATTTTTCGTGAAAGAAAAAATATATAATAAATATCCATGAATTTCTGCACATTATTAAAATTTTTATCACAGTTTATGAAAATTCTTTAAATTTTTTTTGAAAATATATTAGAGATTGAAAAATGGATTTTACAACAGACAAATATAGTTTGGAAATGTGGTTTGGTTAACACACTTCATGCTATCATCTCCGAATATGGTTGACGTAAACATAACGTCTGTACGACTATCCTTAGTGTTTCTCGCAACTCCGCTTGCGGTCGTTAAAAATATTGAACCGAAATAGATTTCACTCCGTGCAGCTTTGCTCTTATGCGAAAGCTCTTGTCGAGAAACACATGCAATTTACATGATTCCAAGAAGCGTCCAAATTAAAATAAAATAACTCCTCAGTTTTAACAATATTTATAAATTTTTATTTACAAAGACATTATTTACATTTGCTCTAAATAATTAATGCTCTAAATAACAAAGCAAATGTATGTTATCTTATAAGAGATTTCAAATTTTTATATTTGCATAAAAGATAATCTTCGCTAAACTTATAATTTGTTTTTAGCTAATCAGACTTGCACATTTTATTTATAGCGAGCATATATGATACATTATTCTTAAAAATAGTAGACTTCATAACATATGTTATTAACAAACGTTTCACTCGCTGGATATTCGATGATAGTGTTCACTCTTCAAGCATAACTGTGCGTTAGAAGAGATACGTTGTAGTTCTATTTCGATTATCTACACGATAAAGTATTTTAAAAACCTTCGAAAAATTACCTGCTACAAAAAATATAACAAAAACATTTTCCTAAAAACAAATTTTTCTAGAAATTTAATTTAGCTAGAAATTTAATTCTCCGTTAATTGCCTTCACTGTTATATAACGTCAGTAGATGAAAAATGTAACATACAAGAAAGAATTAAATCGCAATCATATTTTTAATTTCAAATATTTCTCAATTTAGAAATACTCTACAATTTAACTTCTAATTAAATTTTATAACCGAACTAGGATGTTCTATAGAAAAAGTGCAAACGCTGCAGAGAAATTATCGATGCGAATGCATACCGTCTACCAAATGCTGAACTTCCAGAAATCGATTTTCTAAAAATATTCGGATATAATGATGATACGAAAATATCACGAGATTTAAACTTGCTGCTCATCGCTCTAACAATGGTGCGAAATCAATGGTGAAGAACCGATGCGACGATGGTTTTGCAACACACGCCTGCGGAATACCGGAGCGTGCGAAACGTCAGCAGAAACTTTCGCTGTTAATGCAACGCGGCCGCGAGTAAGATTATGGTGTGCGGGTGTCACGTATCGTTCGAAAGAGAATTTGACTTGCAATTAATACGTAATGCACGTGCGGACATGCGGAATTGAACGTGACATTCCGTATTTCGCGAACAAAACCCGCCACGCGAATCAATCCTGCATACACGATGCGTGCACGCACAATTCGTCCCGCTGGTCGATCGCTGCCGTGATTCATTGCGTGATACCCGAGTTATAGTTTATTGCCCGGCTTACTCACCTTCCTCTTACTCATCGCGATATGAATTACCGTAAAACGCGACACGTACCCCCTTCTTTCGTCATGCTTTACATTCATAAACGTCGTAATCAAATTTCAATCGTACTTTTATTTGATGAATCATCCTTTTGTCTTCTATTTTTAGTTTTTATTTATTACTTGAAATAATCTCTGTGAGACTTTTTTTTTAACTAGGAAAACGACGATTCTTTTATCAAAATGTAAACGAATCAAGCAATAGCTGCAGAAAAATTCTTTCTTTTATATATAATATATAATTATATAATTATTCTGTAATAGTCAGATAAAATACTCGTTGTTTTGTACAGAAGTTGTTCTCTACATAAATGATTCGTATAGTTGTGTCGATGTTATCTTAAGAGTAGTAATGGAATTGGGTCATGGACTCTTATCTTAAATTCTATTTTCAAAAGAAACAACTCGAGAATTGATCAAAAGTCAGACCCAGTTTTTCAAAGTTTGCCATATATTGCAACTTTTTGATTTAAGTTCCCTGTAATTACAGTTACATCTTGTTACAGTTTCTGCTGATCTATCGTAAGGCACGAGCTGGTGAGTTAGAACAGGATTCCGGATTAAGCCAGCTGGCCAGACTCACCGAGGTCGACGTCGACGAGGTCGGTGTCACAGGTGCTAAGAACTTCTTCGAGGCCAAGGTATACATCCATATTTAGTCTCTCTTATCGCGAATACAAATATTTTTCAATTTCTTTTTATGTTGAAATATAAATTACTTAAATGTCAAAGTAAACTTCTTCTCCATATTAATAAGTTTCAGTTTCATACCTTAATACTTTTATGCGCAGAATAATGAGATAAATCAATTGATGTAAAAAAAAACGCACGTAGTTACTTTTCAAAAAAGGTGTACAATTTCCAATGTACAATTACATATATTTTTTGAAACACTTTTATGTATTTAAAATACAAAAATAATTGAAAATATAAATGAAAGATATAAATTAAGAATAAAGACTTAAATTTCTTCATTAATACAAAGAGTCAATAACTACTAATCTCATAGCCATAATAAAAAAAATATAGTTTCTTATCAAATCTCGTCTTTTATCGTCTTATTTGTTATCGTCCAAATGGATGCAACACGTTTTCTATTTACATTTACAATCATAAATGATATGGATTAGGCCCAGAAAACTACCTCAGCGTATCATGCGCATTGAAGAAAAAATACACGCGCGAAAGCGTAACTCAATCGAGACGTATTTCGATTAACGTACTTCTTTTTCGTTTCTTTTTTTCGCAGATTGAACAACTACGAAAGGCCTCGAAGTTCGAAGACGAGATTCGCATGGAGCAAGAGGAGCGGAAACGAGAGGAGGAAGAAAAAGCGGCGAGGCGAGAGCAATTCCGGCAGAAAGCCGCGATCTTCGGCAAATAATTGCGGAGCAAAAATCACGGGAGAGCGAAAGCTGACGACCCGCTCGTTAGAATGCGAAGACGGATTGTTTTGTATTGCTTAAGTTTATTTCCCATGCTCGAAGCGATATCCGACGCCAATGCTCTATCATTTAAGCGCGCTTCGAAGCGATGTGAAATCGCGATTCGATCACGGCGATTGTGATTAGAATTTTAAGCTGGAATTGAAACCGCGATATAATTTCTATGTAATTAACGCACGAAAGAAGAGTTTTATACAATTTTTATTTTTGCAAATAATTATTTCCGCCTATCGAACGATATTAAAAATCGAACTCAGAATACGAAATGATGACGCTTTCAATCCTTAAGTTCGAAAATAAAATTCTTTTATTGAAGATACAGTGAACACTGAAATTCCTTCTCCGAATTTTAAAATAAGTAACAATAGTAAAAACAATAAATTTTTTTAACTGTTGCGATTTTTTAAATATTTATTCATTTATTATTTATATACTGTGTATGTATCACGATTTGGCATTGTAATAACGTTTACTGTACTTGGAATATTATGAAATATTATGCAAAGAGATTATACACATGAATTTTATATGAGAGGACATTTCAGAAAGTGGTTAATATCTAACACATATCTATCTTATAGGAATATATTTTAAAATTGAATAGCGCGCAAACTAGATTTTTACTTGCTGCTTTAATAGCAATTCTAACATCTTGTCTCTCTCTAAAATGTTTAACAAAAATTGAAGAGCACATAGTATTCGATATTTATGTAAAGAATTATTTAATATACAAATAACGTTCAAGGACATTAAAATTCCAGTAAAGAGTTAATATCGAATAATTGGCCTGTTCTTCATCACAAATATTATATAACTATCAATATATAATATTGATTTTTATCGAGTATAATGAATAGACTGAAGACAGAATTGATATAAAAATCGATTTTGCATTATTCAAGAGAGAATAACTTTAATGATTGTTGGGTCTTCGATAGTATGAGATTCATCGGTGAACGTATCTTAATTTTTATTATTAACGATTATATTATAAGACTTTACTTTTTTATTCATTAAATAAGAAAAAATTCTTTGTCATTAAAACTTGTACGGTACTATGTATGGTATAATGTAAGAGAAATATGCATGTAGATATGTTGTATATTCGTGCAGGTGCGTGTGAATGTATGCCAAATCATAGGTATGCGCGTGTTGTCCACTCGATTAAAAAATTGGGACATCGAATAATTATTCGTGGCGCATAAAAAAAATTAATAATATTCATTATTATTATTACTACTAATTTGCATTTTTTATTCTATTTGTGCCTATAACAATACCAAACTTCGGCTGATAAAAAGATAACTGTTATGTATTTATAACTATCGCAATAAATATGAAATCAGTAAAGTTAAGAAAGTTTTCAAATATTCGGATTTTACGCTAAAATCTAAAAAATTATAAATGTATCAACAATATTTTATAATATTTATAATATTTTTTAATCATATATTACTATTTTGATTTTCTTTAATCTTTAACTTTTATTCAAAATACAAATATTTAAAATGATCAGTAATTGTTAAAAATTATTATATAATTATATCAAATGATTCCTATCTCATCGTGCCTATCGCAAACAGTAAACATCTTACTTCAATATTTTAACAGATTGTAAAATAATTTATTATTAGAATTAGTATTAAAATGTTAATACTGATATTTTTATCTTGTTTGCATTATGCAATATACTTTCATTATAAACATTTATTTGTATTTAGAGACATGTTCTGTATATAATCATGTTAGAGTAAGACACAAGAACATTTACTGTAAAAAGTGTGTAAGCTATAGATTGTAAATAGATTTATTTTGCTGCATCAATTTTTTTATGTATCTGATTTATGATAGCATTATATTAAAATTATAGAAACTATATCGTGTTGTTATCATTGTTATAAGTGCTTAGTCGAGAAGTTAATACATTTGTACATATAATAACTGAATGAATACTACATGTATGAGTTCTTTAGCTAAAATATACACAAACAGGAAGTTGAAAAACTTACTCAACTAATACGATTATTATGATAAGATATCACGTTATCTTGAGATTTTACCAAAATTTTTATATCAGTTAAGATGGGTGTTTTTTATCAAGAGACATTATCCAGCAAACACAAAGTTACATGTAACGTGCCTATTAGTTGTAATTTCCCGCTCAACAATATAATTGTAATATAACACGTAAATTATAATGTTATATTATAATTATATTGTTAAGTGAGAAATTACAACTAACAGATACGTTACATGTAACTTTCTGTTTGCTGGGTATACAAATGACACAGTAACACAATGAATCGTTTTTGTTCGTCAACGTTAAACAAAGATGAAATGATACACTGTGTCATCTATGTCTCTCGCTGGAGATCTCTACAGCACCTAATGTTATCCCGACTTTATTTATCTTGTTACTTGGATGGGGAATCTCGTTTCACACTGCATCTTTTACATTCTTTCTGTGTAATTTTTTATCAGAAATAGAACTCTGCCATTTATCAACGGTGCCACGTATTCTTCGAGGATGAGTGTTCTAAAATATTTTATGATGTCTGAAAGACATCATAAATGACTAAGTGAATGCCTTATATATTTCGATTTTGGACATGATAATGTCTGGATATAACTTTTGAATATAAACAAATATGTTTGTATTTTTTATGAAACCATTTATTTTATAATTACAATTACATGTGAAATATATGATACAATTGCATGTGAAAGAATGAAATTGTTCAAAAGATTTTAGTGAACATTTATTATCAGTTTATATGGTTTGTTTTTTAAATGATTTTTAATATTTTTATAATTTAAATGCATTTTGAATATAACTTTATTGCTTGGGAATGTTGAAATCATTAAGTTTTAGCGACCAAATTGTAAAATATTCCGGGAAAAAATGTTATATAAAAGGACATATTTTATATATAATTGTATTTAAAATATGTTAATTATTTATATACTTACATACAAATTTATATAATTATATATAATTATATATGAAACCTTTTTTCCTAGAATAACGCATTCATTCTTTAATATTTATTTTAATAATATGTATCAGTAGATTATAATGTATCTAACATCAGAATAACTTTACAAGAATACGTACGGAATAACAAAGTATCTATTTCTGACGATTCAAATTAAAAGGCATTGCTAAAACGAATTGCTAAAAAACAATGTTAGTAGAATGTTTATTTTGCAACTTATATTGGAAGTTTTCTTCATTGAGTTAAAATTATACATCCTTTTCTTAGAAATTTTAAAATTTATTTGTATAATTCACGTATAGGAAGAATTTTTTAGAAAAGATATAAATTTCCTCAGTATTTCTGTTAAATGCTCCAATTTATTGTAGAATTTATTGTAGAGTTAAAATAATATGAGAAATTATCTAAAAAATTATAAAATTATTCTGAAATTTATAGAAAAATTTTAAAAAATTATGTGAAAAATTCTGAGAAAAATCACAGAAAAAAATCAATTATACTTTATAATATGTTAATTAATTATTAACATTATATTTGACTTTAATAAATAAAAAAATGCATATAAGCGATCACAATTAGAAACTTACTCAAGCAGAACAATAAGTTATCATATGATGACAAAGTGATATCAAAATGATTCCAAAATGACTCCAAAATGTCTAAATCATTAAAAAGTCATTTTTCAATCATTTCCGATTCATTTTAACGTCATTTTAATGTTATCGTGACTTGTTGTTCTGCTTGGGTTATTTATCAGTGCTATCCAGTATAACGACAAATTGTTTAGATGTAAATGATATAAAATGAAACATAATTCACACTTATATACGTAAATATAAAGACGTAAATATAAAATACGTAAATATTTCTAGATTTTATACGTGAGGCCCACTTTAGATATAATCTATAATATTCGGAATGTGAATATTTGGGGCAATTATGTTTTAATAAAATGATTTTTAAAAGATGACTCAAAAACTGGAAGATGAAAGTAAATAAAATGAATTTTTTAAATGTAACTTTATGTATAAATTAATTCAGGAACTAATATTTTTTGGAACTTTATAGTGATATCGAATAAATATTAATTAATAAATACTAATCTTCTTGAATATCGAATTACAACGTTGGCAGGACATTACTTTAATAAACATTAAATGTTTTTATTATATTTTTGTAATATCTTACTATGTTGTGATTCAACGTTTCTGAAGAAAAAACACATATCTTCAGACAGAGCAATCTCTCCCATTCTTCTATATTGTTGCGTCTTTTCTAACAGACCGATCTTCAAACAAGACGAGGCACTTGGTTGTATTTCTCGTACCGTTTGCATCGACTTGCGAACGAATCCGGTCAGAATATTGATAGTCTACATCTAGGAAGTCGGAATTTTATCACACTTAAGAAAAGAGGCGAAAAAAAGTTTTAAATTAAAGTTTTAATTTAAAAAAATATGCAAAATGGATAATTTTTTAAATAAACAACTATGTATTTTTTTACACCAACTGATTCATCTCATTATTTCGTTCATAAAAGTATTAAGATACGTATCAAAAAGTTAATAATTTACGAATTATTTAACTTTTTATATCAATATATGTATCAGAATAAAGTGCAATGTAAAATATCTTGTAAACTATATGTTTTTTGATATCACTGCCTTAATTACTTTTATATATGCAAAATAATTAAGGGCATCATATTGTATAAAAAAAATCATACAATTCCATTTAAAAAAGTGAAGGTGACCTTCATATCTTTTTGACGCCTCCATTTAAAAAAAAATCTTGAAATACATCCCTCTCGAAATCATTCCACTTTCATTTGAAACATTTTTTTATATCATCAAAAATAAGCGAGATATTTCAGATGGTAGACTTAAAGTGGATCACTCTGTATATTTTGTATATATTTTGTATAAATTTTATTTCTTCAAATGTTTTCTATGTTATACACGATCAATATCAATCAATACACAAAATTCTCAATAAACAGAATTCTGTTTCGAATTTGCGTGAATTATAAATCGTTTAAAATAAGCTTAATAAATGAATATTATTGTATTATGTACATACACATACATATACATACACACATATGACACCGATAATCGGGTAACATTAATGTAATCAAATGTGATTGAATTTGAATGTGTGTTCATGCTTTCTTCCATCAGTTCCACCATGATGTGTTGAGTAGAATTCCATTCGTATCCTATAACCTCATTTTGGACGAAATGCTATAGACAATAAATGTACATATTTAGTAATGATTCTCCAGTACTCCATTGTTTTTTATAATCAATATTTAATATACATTGCAATTGTATTGTTCTTGATTCTTTTTGCATAGTATTTCATTGTTATTTATAAATTACGGAAATAAAAAACGGTAAATACAGTATCGTATGTTCGTATATCTATATTTATCTAGATCGTTATCTTATCGGAGCACAAGTATAAATATTGAATTTGGAATTGCTAACATATTGTATTGCTAACGTATATTTGGCGTTGTACTGTGTGATTATCATTTATACTGAAAAAACAGAGAAGTGATTGGAATTAACGAAAAAAAAATCATGGCATTGGGACAGGTGTGCATACAGTGATTATCAATAGTATTTTGCAATAATTTTTTTTCATCAAGCAATTGTACGAAATGATGGGCATAGAGAATACTTTTGCAGATAAAGGAATTGACAAATCTGTACAAATCATTAGCTGCATATCCATCCTTGAGCAGTGCACAGATTCTGGGCATTCCAAGTGGTAGATTATCCATACAAGGCTCATGGACTCAGAGGAATCTGGAAAGAAAGACAGATCAACGTTTCTTACAAAATTATGATTTGAACTCAGATTTGACACCAATTTCTACCGGATTTCCAATTGATATTACTACAGAGTATGTAATATATTTTTTTATAGTATATAGACAAGGCATACTTACAGGGATTATTTAAAAGGAGACTTTCTTATGGGAGGTATGGAGCTTTCCATATCCAGAAGTCTTGTGAATGTTGAATTCCACATCCAGAATTCGAGATATTTAAAAAGAAAATATGATTTTGACAAATTTTGAAAAATTTTGAGTGATTTGACAAAAAACAGTATTTGCTTAGGGTATATATGTAAAAATATACTTTGCACATAACATATAACAAAAGAGATAAAATATTTGTATTATTTTGAAATTTTGCCCCTCCCTCCCTCCCTTCTCTTCCTAATTTGGATGAGGTACTCCGCACTCAGAAAAGTCTCTGTTCCTGCATATTTAATATAAATATTGCCTGTATTTAAAGATATCTTTTTCGGACAGATTAATGTCAACTCTGACGAAGAATGAAGAACGTAGAGCTGTGTTGCGACAAGCCACAATTGATAATTCTACAAAGCAGTTTCTTGAAATTTGGGATAAACAACATTTTGTGAAGAATTATGATCTGTCTGCTCTAGATGTCCATGGGGATGTTTACACAGATAGTATAAGCTTCCACCTTTTATCTCAAACTTTTAATTTTTCTAATGTACATTAATTGTATGCTTTTTTGTAGCTGAATTTCGTTCGTTTGAATGGTCTCCGGATAATACCAAGGTTCTGTATATAGCTGAAAAGAAGCTTCCTAAGTCAGAACCGTTTTATAAGCAAAAATCATTGGATAAAAAAGATAAAGAGAAGAAAGAGGATGATGAAGTAATGATGGTAGGATTTATTCCTGATTTTTTTAAATAATTATAGAGTTCTATTTGTATATATCTTGTCTTATTTAATTTTCTTGATGTCAGGGTAATGAATATATATACAAACCACACTGGGGAGAGCAATTAGTAGGTAAACATCAATCTGTTATTGCTGTCCTTGATACGACGTTGGATACCATTACGATTTTATCTGGAATACCAGATGAACTTTCTCCCGGTCAAGTGATTTGGACGAAAGATCAAGATGTAATCGGTGTTGCTTGGAAACATGAGCCACTGCACTTAGGCCTTACTGCGTGCACCAATAGATATTCCTGGGTATTTTTATTGAAAAACGGAGAATATCGTAAGCAGCATTTAAATAATTAATATATGTAATAGCAGATATGAAATAACAGAAAAGAAATGAATAACTTATTGTGTAACAGGGAAATTGTCTGATGAAGGATGTGCTGTGCACAGTCCTAGAATTAGTCCTGGTGGAAATTATCTCGTGTGGTTGCAGAGAGAAGCAGGTGCTGTTCCACATCATAATGCGCAAAAACTTATGTTGCGAGATTTGAGAATGGAGGAAGATAATGTAATGTATTAAAAATTAGATTAATTATAAACGAAAAATTATATTAAGGAAAATATGTTTAATATTTTAAGTTTTTAATTATTTTGTTTTACATCTAGAATATCGAGATTGTGGAAGCAGTGCGAATGAGTAAAACAATCAATTCTAACAAACAGTTTTATGGAATATATGGTCGTTTACCTCGTCGTTGTTGGAGTGATGATTCTCAATACTTATTTTTCAGTACAGCTCAAAAAAACAATCTTGTCTCATATATCGTGAATATAAGTAAGATACTACAGTTTTGTTGATTAAACTGATTTAATATTTTCTTGTCACTTAAAAGAATAATGAATTGTCTTTGCAGAAACGAAAGATGTTATTGAAATAAAAAACGATAAAAGTAGTCTTAGTATATTGGATGTAAAGGGGGATGTGATTGCGTTTTTGAGTACTTCTTTAACGCAACCTTCTAGTCTTATAGTAGGCCGTTTTAAGAGAGAAGTGGCAAGTAATGGCGACATCTCCAGAATTGCGATTACAACTCCAATGAAAATTCATGGTTTCGAAGAAATTATATATGAGCAAAATGAATACAGTTATGATAATGATGACAGCATAAGTAAGTGGATCGTGTTACACAATTTCTCTTGGTACTGCAAATGTAGATAACTTGGGACAGCATATATTTTTGTTAAATTCAATCATGGAATCCATCTATGAGTCTCTAAAGAAAGTTTAAATTTTAACTCATGGATGGATACCACGATTAAATTTAACAAAATGTTGTCCCAAGTTATCTACACTGTCCCAAATCATTTACATTTACGGTATAGCTAGTTGAATGTTGCTTCTTCATTTTTCAGAGCAATTCAATTATATCTATTTCGGTCCAAAAAGTGGTAAAGATCAATCGGTACCTTTTGTCGTTATACCACATGGAGGACCTCATAGCAATTTTGTTAACGTATTTTCTTTAGAATGTTCTTTCTTGGCATTAGCAGGTAAAAAATAAATCATATCTTTCTTTTTACATAATATTTAAGAATTTTTTTACTAATTCCGTATAATTCAGGTTTTGCAATAGTGCAAGTAAATTATCGTGGTTCTACGGGAATGGGCAGCGCAACGGTAGAATATCTTCCAGGAAAAGTTGGAAACGTTGATGTAAAGGACTGTATAACTGCTACGAAGGAAGCTATCAAGAGATATCCCTGGCTCGATTCTAAACGCATATGTCTTTGTGGTGGATCTCATGGTGGATTCTTAGTAGCACATTTGAGTGGACAAGCTCCTGTAAGTATATCAAACAATTTATACAATAATATATTATACAATAATATATTAATTGGAATATCTACTTAAAAACTATTTTTATTTTAGGATCTATTCAAAGCAGTAATTGCAAAAAATCCGGTAATTGATATCTCCATCATGTTCGGTACATCCGACATCCCAGACTGGTAAAGAAATATTTAATACCTAATAATGATATTCCTCACGTCCTAATTATTCAATATCCCATATTTGTATTTCAGTCGCAATGCTCTGACTAAGGAAGAGATAATAGCGTATCTTCATAATATGTAAGCTTAATTATTTCAGATGTACCAATAATCGCGATTCTAAGCTTGACTGAAATACATAATCTTCTTTTTATTGAATTATTGTGACAATGGTTTACATCGTGTTTGCCTGGCAAACATGTTTATATTCGCATCAAGTTTTTTTTATTCACACTAATGTGATTTAATTTTTCATTACAGGTGCACACACGAGGCAGGTCTTCTTTGCAACATTGTTACCGGTCCATGGCCCGATAATATTGACATATTCATGAAAATGAAGAAGTGCTCGCCCATCATGTATGTCGATAAAGTCAAAGCACCGACCTTGGTCTGCATTGGAACGAAAGATTTGCGAGTACCATCCTCTCAAGGAACGATGTGGTATAATCGTCTCAAATCTAACAATGTGAAAACTAAGTAAGTTGACATTTATGTATGCATGCAAAAATGCAGAAATGCAGAAGATATAAAATCCTTGCATTGTTATTAATTGATTTGATGTATGATTAATTGATTGATTGATCCTGACACAGGATGCTTGTGTACGATGACAATCATCAGTTATCAACTGGATCAGCTGAAATAGATCACATCATCAACGATTGTCTGTGGTTATTGGAGCATACGTCTAAAGAATCGGAAGACACAAAATAATTCAAAACGTTCGATTATATGTATGTATATACATAGATCTTTATTATCACAAAATGAATATTTACACAATTTTATTACATACATTTTATAGATTTACGTAACATTAATTTCTTTATTATTATGATGTCCGAATATTAATGCGAGTCACTGTATATGTATGTGTATATTTCCTTTATATATATATATATATATATATACACATACATATATATATGTGTACACACATATATATATATATATATAGATATGTATATAATCGCGTATATTCAAGTAAGATGTAGCATTATTAAAATATGCTACAATACAGTAAATTCACATACAACTCGTCGCGAATGTCTATGAACACAACAGATCCCATCAAATTTGTTCTTTTTCGAGATATGTATTATTGCTATATCAAACATTATCGTACTTAATACAAGATCATAACTTAATACAAGAAATTAATACGGATGTGAAGTTGATGAGACATGTAATTTTAAATTTAATTAACATAGTTAAAAAATATTATACCATTATTTTGATTTTGACAGAAAGTTTGTAATATTCCATCAACTACTAAAAAGTTATTTTGAGGCCTCTTTCTTCGTTGTAGTTTTCAATGAAAATTCATGTAGTATTATTTCTTCAATATTTATTTAAAAATAATACAAAACGTAGAAATATACAATTCAAGATTCCCATTTTCCTACTGCAATCATACGTTATGTCAGAAGTGGGAATTGTTATATGAATTTTCTTACAATACGTTATTGAACATTAATAAAGGCATACGAAAAATCTAATTATCTCTATATGCAACAAAAATATGAACTATTGATTTTCCATTTGTGACGTCATAATTCAATAAGGCTGCAATTAAAAAACGAAACTTTAAAACTATACAGAAGAAAAAATAAATTTAATTGACCTATCTACTAACCATTACATTTCGTATAATCTCACTAATATACAATAAGAAACGATGATTGTGTGGTTAATATAACTGCATGTAAATGCGTGTAAATGTACTGCATGCAGTGGCGCAATTGGATGTGGACGGTGAGCAACAGTGCTCCAAATGTAATTACTTTGGTTAAAATGATTGAAATATATGCATGTAACAATTTATTGATTAATTAAGACTCTCATCTTTATCCATTATCAAAGGACAAAGGATAATTGGTGTTGTGTAGCTTTGCATCCTAATCATAACTGACTTATCTATAATTTGATTAGCATCTGAAGCTGCACTACATTCAGTTCACATTTCCATGAAATCGACTACACAGAATCAAAACTGATATATAAAACGTCTGTTAATTTATCAGAGCGTTTTCTTTAATAATAAAATCCAGCTCACATTTTGGAAAATAGTGTATGAATGTAGAGAAGAATCGATCTAGTTATATCACTAGATGCGCGACAACGCAGCGTCTAATTAAAACATTAGACGGTATGTTTTCACTCTCATATTATCAGTTCATACTTGGATTCAATAACTTACGATCTGGCAGGATTGCTTTGTTCGGGGAACAACGAGTCGTAACTGGGTGGTAGATCTTTGTCCACGACAGGCGAGGACATCGCGACCTCCAACATGGGAGCCGTTGGCACTGCGCGATTGGATCCCTGAGCTCCGTCCGCGTCCGGCAAGGAAACCGGCCGCGAGCATACGTTCGGACCGGCGCAATCCGATGACCAGCACAATTTTTGTGATTTCTTACAGATCCATAGACACAAAATGAAGATAATAAAGCAGAGGATCATGGTGGTGACTGCTCCTACAGTGACTTTTGTGGCAGTATTGTTCTTGGGATATCGATCATTGACGCAATTCACCTCATCCGAGCATATACTAAAAGGACAATTGTAGACCTTGTCACATATGTACTCCTTCCGAATACAATTGTTATATCCGACCGCCTGGTAGTGCTCGGAATTTGCCTGATCGCATTCTGCAAATTAATTATCAATAAAATAATCATATCACCCATTTGTTACAACAATGACACAACTCAAAAACTAAAGCTTTAAAAAAAATAAGAATTAGAATAATTATTTCGAATCATTAACATTTTATAATATTAATTTTAAAATTAAGTTTTATTATAATATAATAGCAGATTGTAGAGGAATACAAGTATATTAACGATGTATCAAGATACGGAAATAGCTCACAAACCACGTGACTTCTTTAAAGAAGATGAAAGCCACAAAAGTATTATAAGTAAATGTTATAAGTTACAAAATATATATATATATATATGTAAGTATATTCTTTTAAATTATCATCTTCCTTTTTTGCTTCAAATTTTTGTTCTTTTTCTATTAAAAAAATGACTTTTTGAGTTGTAGCAAATGAACAATTATGTTTGTTACATTTAATATAAATATGTACGTTAAAAAAGCATACTCATGTATGGGGTATAAACTATCGTAAGGTCCAAGGACTGTCCATCTGGTACTCTTTCCTTGGAAATGAATATTTCGGTTTCTATCGTAGCAGAGTCCGATCGAATAGACCACAGTTTCGATTTTTTAACAGGATCATATTCCGCGTATATGTCATAATTAGGTGACCGGCTATCATTTATGTTACCCAAATTGTCCTCAGGCTCAGGAACCGGAAGGTATGTTGTCTGGCTGCGATCTATCTCTCCACAGAACTTGTTTGTGTAAAAACCATCGCTCCTCTTGAACTAATAAGAGGTTTATCAAGAATCTGATATGAGAGTTAATTCTAATTGTATTTAAGTCTGTTTTTTTCTATACTCCAGGATTGAACTTCTTGCATGATTTAACTCTTTCTCTTCAATGTGAAAAGAAAAAGGAAAAAGCTAAACTGTACAAGGGAAGTTTAGTTCAGAAGTATGGAAAAAGAATAGCCCTTGCATTCACTTACCCGTATGTAATCAACACACCGATCGCCGTCACGACGGAGAAACATCTTCTGAATAACCGCGAAGAGGCCCTCGTTTTTGCCAGTCCGGAAGACGAACGTACAATTGCGATTGGCCTTGACGACCCAGTGATCGAACATGTGGTGCGGCATGACGATCGCCGCGGCGCCGTGTTGCATGTCAAGCATGTGCTTCTTGTTCAGGACATGGCATATCTTTTCGTTCTCGAGGCTATCTACGTGAACGTGCAGAAGTGAGGTTAAACGAGAAAGAAAAGGTAACCTTCTATTGGACGATTACTCGTGACTTACATTCGACGTAATGATTGTAATCATAACTGTCGTAACGCGCGCACGAGCACAGGTGCGCGATCACGATCAGCAGGTAGACGACGCCTGCGTCCCGGGCCATCTTCGGGTCGCGACCGCGCAGAGCTGGATGTCACAGGGCCATACAGGTGACAGGACAGGATGCGCGAAGAGCGGGGCCAAGTCTCGCGGGCACCGACGATGAGGAACACCGTGCGAAATACCGCGGCGAGGAGCGCCGAAATTATTTTCGTGGAGCCGGAATCCGGAGCGGATTGCGTGATGTCGTTACGCGAGATGCGTCTCATGCGTCACGCCGTCATCCATCCGTCATTCCGTCCCCCCACGGGGGTAACCAAACAAGTCCCGACGAAAGTCGACCGACGCCGCTGCCTGCATTCGAGCACCTTCGAGAGGATAGACATCGATCGCGCGATCGAGACCTCGATGAGAGGGCCGTGTCCCGCTTCTCGGCGAGCGAAAGAAAGAGAGATAGAAAGATCGCTTGATAATTAAATAGAAACGAAAAAAATGCTATGCGAAGCGAATAGAAAAATCCACATGGACTTCGGCGAGGTAGAAACGGGCACCACAACTGTCAAGTGGCTGGAGATAGTTAACAAAAGTTGCGTTAGTGTCCTACTTCTTGTCTATATTTAATATATGTTCTTTTCTATCAATGTATTAAATAATTAACTTATCTTTATTTTTATTCTTCTCTGGTTTTGAGAACTAGGAAAAGATAAAGAGTAAATTAAATCGAGATTCGAAGGTAATCTATATCTATGATAGAAATGGACGCGATTTTGAAGGTTTTTATTAGGATTGAATTAAGAGAAACGTGATTAAAATATTAATTTTTTTAATTTAAAAAGGGAGCGGATTATTTTCTATACATTTTAAACTGTATAAAATGATTTTTTAATATGTCTAATGTCTAGTTGTAAAAAGGAGGTTGTAACATCAATTAACTTAAAAGAGAATGCGTCTAAAAATAATTACAATGTCAAAATTTTTAATTCAAAATTAACTAAATTATTTCCAGCTATATAAAATAAGTTTTGGACGTGTTTAAATATTCGAAAAGAGAAGTTGAATATAATCCTTTTGAATGATTAGAAGGAATTATAATAATGAAATAAAAAAGTTGTTTTAAATTTGTACTTTATTTGCTATTTGCTTGTAAAACATTTAGCTCTGTGTAAAGCACTCATATTGACTGATTAATGATGTATTACAGATCGAGCAAATTTACGAGGCTCGAAGAGATTCGTCTACCAATCCGCTGGATCACGTGTTTGAATTATGTAGCTACTCTTGGACTTTACTTCCTAACCATGCGTACAAGTGCAAAATATACTATCGACCATTCATGCCATTCACTGTAAACGTAGATTACTTTACGATCGTAAATTCAATTGGCGAACGTGCGGAAATCCAAGTCCGCGGAATGTGTATTGGTATGGAATTCTTTCCAATTAATGACGTCGAAAAGAATCTTTATCCTTCCTTTCTTAGTTTCTTTTTTTTTAATCTAATTTAGGATCATTAGCGTTTTAGAAGGATTGTGTTGAAAGTCCGAAAGTTTAATCGGCGCGCAATCATATCTGAAATAAATTTGATTTAATAAAAGTACTTAATATATTATTCGAAATATCTAACTTTGACCAATCAAGACCTTTTCTATTGTACTTTATTCATTAATATTTTTATTCATTAATATGGTCTTAATATTTTTATAAGTCTTAATTGTCTTTATTCTTTGTTGCCACACTTGGACATATCCAATCCAATTCAATTACTCATAATTTTCATAAAAATGAATTATATTGTAACAACTTTTTTTTTTATCAAAACGCCACATTAAGGAATATAATGGTAGCATTATGTATTATCTTTATTAATAAAAAAAATTATTACAAGAAAAACATTAGAAAAGAAAAACCGAATATACCATTGCATCCTAAAGTGGCACAGAAAAATCTTTTGTAGTTAAAGTTTTCTTTCAATTTCTGAAAATTTTTGATGATAAATTCTTATGGAGTAAAAATAATTGATGGAGCCTGTCAGAAGCGTCTCAGAAATTGATCAATTCTGTTATTTTGAAAATTTCATAATTTTAATATTGAGCACTCAATTATACCTTCATCAATTTTTTTTGCTTTTTATTTCGTGTTGATCAGCTTGAGAAACTCCATCAATCATTTGTACTTCAAAAGAATATATCATTGAGAGTTTTCAAAGTTTAATACAAGCCTTACCTAACTACAAAAGATCTTAATCGAGGTGTTCCATTGTTAAAGCGCAACAAACCTCAACAGAAGTATTTAAAAAGAGACAATTATGATCTTATATTTCCGTTGAAAAGCATATGTCATCCTAGGCTTTTAAATAAATTCAGACCCTGACAATTTAATTTAAGTTATGAGTCATTAATTATCGACATATTCTGAAATTGACAATATTTATGATGAATGTTTCCGTCACCGTACGGCGTTAATTGTTAATCATTTACGCACGCAGGACCTGTGGTCTCCTCGTCCGCCACGAGATTAGTCATGATGTGTACGAACGAGAATCGTGAAGTGAAGAAACGGATTAGACTCGTCAATGATTCGAAAGCCACGGCGACTTTCATGTTCGACTCGCTTCGAAAGCCGTTTGAAGCAAATCTGCGACACGGACACATCGGGCCCTATTCTCACAAATTCGTAACAATTACTTTTGCACCACGGGAAAACGGGATCTACGCGTGCCATTTTCCGTGCCTAATTCTGAATCACGTAATGGGAAAATTTGAATTTTCAAAAAGAACGTAATCCTCATTGCACATGAAATGTCATATTATTTATAATTCGATTTTTCAGACTTTAGTAATTAATTCTATACCAGTTCTGTATTATTTTATTAAAAATAAGTATTTTATGTACAAGTAAAAAGCAAATGATATGATTCGCTTTGTACATTTTATGCGCGTCACCTTGTATTTATGTAATATTTTTTTGATCTATACTAAAATATTAATATGTAATATGTTTTCGATTCACTAAGATATTTACCATTCAGTCGAAAAAATTTTACTTCACGTGTCAAGAAAGATGTTTCATAGAAAGATGCTTACGTGATATATATTTATGTTGATTCATTTTTACAGAAACCGATTATCATAGAATTATACGGCTACTGTTGCACAGCGTTGCGTAAAACGAGCACACAGACCCGTTTTAATTATCCTACGAGATTAAAAAATGGTTTCGAAGGATATACAAGCGATACTGTTGTTGCCATGCAAAATCTTCCTACGGTTTCTTCGTCGAAAAATTGTATCGATTTCGGTCAGGCCGACGTAGAGGCGGAAAACGCTGAGCGAAAAATTCCAGAAACCCTGTGTCTTACTAATCACAGCCAGTCCGATGTATTAATTAAATGGGACCAAGGTTATTGTTTATCAAATCAATATATGCTATTATTAGTGCTTTATTTTACTTACTACTTATCTTTACCTTCTTATCTTACCTTTTCAACTTCTTACATTTTTACTTGTAAATTTGTTTTAAAGACATAGAAATTACAATTAAATATTGTTAATATAAGCACAGACCTATTCTTCTGTCAACAATTAATTAATTAGATAATTTTATATATAGATGTTGAAGGAATTTTCATTATAACACCCACTGTCACGAGAATACCGGCGAACCAGACGGCTCTGTTTGAAGTCGCGTTTAATCCCGACCGAACAAGCAGTTTCTTTGCGAGAGATCTCGTTGGAGATGTTTTTGTTAAGCCGCAAGAAGATCGCTTTGGAGAAGAAACTCTGACATTCCCTGCAATCACAACCGTGCGGCTAATAGGTGCGTATTCTCTTTCTTTATTTGACTTTTACGTTTACATAATGCCACTCTTATCTAATTCCTTTTTTTTTACATAGGTCACTCCTTTCGCGTTTACTCCGATGGTTGGATTCCTCAGTATGAGATACCTCACGTAGTTAAGATGCCTCCTTGTGTACCCTCATCGCCGACATACGCCACATTTCTAATACGAAGATACGGGCATTTACCGCTGATGTATCACTTTGTACCGCCAGCATCGAGTCACTTTGTCGTGAAGCCGATGATGGGCATAATTCATCAGTACTTGCATTTAATATTTTATATGATCCTAATTGCTCGAATCTAGCGTGAAGTCTCACAAAAGCATCCCGCAAATATCACATAAATAACACTAGTTTACAAAAAATATTTTTTTTTTAAATTATTTTCATCAGAATCGTTATTTAAAAGTCTATAAAAGAAAAACACTATATCTAGTTCGAAATAATTTTTTACTGTAAACTGTAGTGTAATTTATCGTGATATCATATTATCTTTACATTCGTTTTACATGACGTTTATATTTATTTTATTTTTTAAAAAGCATTTGAAACGATTTATATTGGTATTCTGTGTTCAATATCATCTCTGTATACATTAAATATATTTTCAATTTTTATTCGTCAATGATGCATTGTGATCCTTTTCAGAGATTATCAGATCATTGCAGTCTGCATGTTACCCGGAAACGATGATAAACGCGTTTATATGGAACGTTGGGCAATACGTTTCAATGGAAATATAAAATCGGAATGTTTCATAGATTTTCAGGGATACACGGAATATGCGGATGTCAGTTTTAGTGATCGGAATACCGTGAATTTCGCATCGACGTTTCCAGGCTGTCAAAGTCTGCAGCAGTTTTATATGCGAAACGTCACTCGACATGTAATAAAGTAAATTTTTGTGATATTAATATTAATTCCATAGAATACATATTAATATTTAGCAACAAAAATTAATTACATAATGAAACACTGTATAAAGCACCAATGAAAACAATATGCATTGTCAAAATTTCTTTAATGTGGTTGCCGTGAATTAATTAAATTTCAAAGCATATAAAAATTTTAATTATTAGATGTTGGAATTAATTCGTAGCGTTTTACAAGTGATGGGAAGTACTTTCATTAATGTATTTTTTAATGCTCATGTGAAATAAATAACATTCTTTCATTAAAAACGCTACGAATTAATTCCAACATCTAATATATTTCTAATAAAAAAAATTATATTTCTATTATAAAAATTAATTAAAATATTTTTAAGAAAATAGACTGTTAGTTTATTGTTGTGATTGTCTTTGATTAATATCCATTCTTTAGTTATGAATTCATTAATGTGACACCTGAACTTCAAATACAAAATAGAAATGGCGAAATTTACTCAAACGATATAATTACTCACAAATGGTTATTTTGTCCTACAACACTTGGAGATTACGAATTTGACATAAACTGCATATTGGTCGTACTGAAAGATGGAATTCCCGTTGGCCCTAACGTCTGCGTAACATTACGTGTAACAGGAAAATGCGAATCTGGTGTTCTTGTGGTAAATTAATAAATAAATAATAAAACAATAGCAAGATACAAAATAAAAAATAAATAATTTTTAAAAATAATAATGAAATATAATAATAAAAATTTTATAGTACAAAATTTTAATAATATATTGTATATTATTGTTTTCCAGTCAGCGCCAGATGAATTAAATTTTGGAATTCAGGCATACAAAGATACGAAAGAATTAAGTTTTCACGTATTTAACTTGAGTCCCGTAAACATCTATTACAAAATGACATGTATTCATTGCAATTGGCCAATTGGAAATATAAAACGTGATGTAAAAATACATCCGATTGCGGACACTGTTGTTGCCGGAAAAGATAAAATCATTACTGTTCTTATCACACCTACTACTCCGGGATTTTATGAATTTTTTATTCAGTATTTTGTGAGGATGAGCTCTGATATAAACACAGATTTAATTCTGAATCAGATTCCGAGAAATATTTGTAAAGTGAGCTGTTTATGTGTATTGCCTACTTTGAAGGTAAAATGCTATATGCATAGTATTATTTTGCATTTGCCAATAGAAACTCATTTTTTAAAATAATAATTCGACGAAACATATAATAGTAATAAATATATAAATGCCCATTTTTCTTTTTAATAAACAATAGGTAACAGATTTGCAATGTTACGGATCTTACCCAGTGAGCAAAATTTTCCTTTGGAAGCTGATGAAAATAAACATGTACTTACATAGAATTTCTTGTTATTTTTCGATATAAACATAATTTAATATTTTAATCATGTGTGTATGGTCTAATTTATACAATGCTTTTTTACTAGCGTGCTAGTCTTCTAGCGCGAACTAACAGCTAAAAAAATATAATTCTATTTATTTATATTTTTTTTTTAGAAAACTAGCAATTAAAAAATATAATTTATTCTAGTTTGTTAGAAAACTAGCACTAGTTGCTAGTAAAAAAGTAAAATTATATAAATCAGATCTGTACATTTCTAGGCTCAATATATTATTCAAAGATTTGCAACCAGGGACATCGCAAACGTTTTACATAAATTTTCCAGCAATGGTTTTACATAGTCCAAAGGTTATTGTAAAATTGCTTATAACAAACGTAGCTGCAATAAGTGCTTCGTGGAATATCAAAAAAGTACAGCTCTGTTCTTGTCGGCCAGTTGTAAATACTCAAGGCTGTCTTAAATTTCAACGTGCAAAGTACGATTGTTTGCATAGGAAAGTGTGTTCTATACAGCCAAAAGCGGGAAATCTTGAAGTATAAATAAGCTATAATTTTATGATTTTACAGTAATTTCTTTATTGTTATTTTATTATCACTATTATTAATTTATCATTTTAATAAAATGCAGCCAAGAGAAGAGATCTGGATATCACTAGAGCTGCGTTATTTATTATTAGGCCAGACCGAGACAAAGTGGGACTTAGACCTCGGAGATAATCGTCACATTTTTTTCATTATGATAATTGAATGTTTATCTGATTCTGATAAAAAGCTTCAGGTTTTAAACGGCACGCATTTCAAATTTCAACATGTTTATTTTGGAGAAAAAGATCCTATCTATCAGGTTATTTTTGTTGCATTTAAACATACAAATAACGTCCATAACGTGAAAATTTTTCAGGTGTGTTGGGTACTTAATAATACAAATCACACTATCCCGTTTTCTATAAATCCAAGAACGATGTACGAAATAAATCAGGAGTATTGCTATAAAGTTTTTTCCTATGAGACTCCACATGCAATTGCGAATCCGCAAACTTCTGTTCCGATCCTTTTAAAATTTCAACCAAGGAAACTCGGCATATTTAAAGTACATATATAACAAATTTAACACTAGCTATACGCACTAAGAAATTCCAGAAATTCTAGTGCAATTTGCTAAATAAAGATTTTTTGTTTTTTAATTTTTTTTTCTTTGAACCTATATATCTCCTTAATTCTATCGCTTTTACACATTATGAACCTGTTCCTTAAGCAATTCTCCAATTAAAAAAAAATTAATTGAATTATAGTCATTTTTATGGAAATTACGATAACAAATATAGGTGGGGTTCTATGGACCCGAATGTATATAGCTAAGGTTAATAGATAAAATTAATGAATACATTTTTTTTCCAAATAAAAATTAATATATCTCTCTATTGTTAGGGGAAATTGCGTTTGACTTTGGGTGACAGAGAAGAAGAACTGACACTCGAAGGCGAATCTTCCTTGCCACATGAACCAGCAACAATTACAGAATATGTTCCAAGCGAACAAAGCTTCGAGGATGAGGATATTCCCATATACTTTAGTACTGACTGCATAAATATTTCTCACATAGCTACACACAGCCATGTAGTTAAGATGATTATGATACATAATAATTTGATGCAAGACGTACTTGCCTACGAATGGAAAAGGTTTACTTGAATTAAGCTATATGGATTGTGGAATAAATTATTGAACTGAAAAGTGTTTTCTGAATTGAATTAATATTTCTGCATTACTCTATCAGACATGAGACATCTGAAATAATTCACGTGGAAATTTATCCGTCAAAAGGCTTGATAAAACCAAGGACTGTCAAAAGTTTCCATGTAACTATATATACTAAAGGCTATCCTTGCATGATTGATATTAATATACCATGCGAGTTTATTAATACTAGCCAAAGGCGGATCTATCAACGAAGTGTATACATTCTCGAAGGCTTGTATCAGGAACTGAAGGGACAGTTTACTATTACGGAAAAAGGCATCAGCGTTCCAGTAAATAAAATATATAAATTTCTCTCGCAAAATGTTAAAACTTTAAAATGATTTAAGAAAGTTTTAATATAAAACTCGTAGAAAAATAGTCCATTTTATGTAAAAATACAAGTTTTTCTTTAAATTTATGTACCTTCTTTTACCTCTAGAAATTACCGGTGAAAATCTTGGAAAAACCTCTGCCATTTTACAAAGCCATAACAATTCAATGTTCTATCTATAGCGTAGAAGACAAATTCCTGAAAGTTAGTCTAATGGAAGAATTAATAAGTGCGCCGCCAAAAGGAATATGCATTGAGGAAAATGAGAGAACGATGACATTCGGCAAAAAAGATATTAGTCGAGCTTCGTTTATTATAGAAGGTCTACTGTGGTAAATCACTTACTTTCTAAATATTATAATAATAAATAACAGAGTAGATTAATTTATTTATAAAATGAATGTGTGTGTTTTAATGATACATTTCGTCACATTTTAGGGAAATAGTCAACAGTAAACTGTTCGGAAACATAATGCAAAACATTTTATGGAAAAAATCAAATTTATTTTATTCGCAATTTAGAATGAATTTGCACGAAAGAAAAAAATTGATACAGAGATCGTACATTTCACCACCCCGAGCGTTAATTAATCGTATACTTGAAGAGGTAAGATTTTATGCTGGGAAACGAGCGTAGTAAAGCGCACTAATCTGCAATGCTAAAGATCCCGGGTTCGATTCCCGGCGACACAAAAAAAAAATATTTTCATTATAAAAATATAAAAAAATGAATGTGGTTGGTAATTTCAAAAATATGAAAAGAAAGAGCATAAAGAACCACAGCACAAGATGTAGTTAGTGATATTTAATTATTCTAATCTTGCATTACGAATTACAATAAAAACATTAAACGTTTCGGCCACAATCTGACCATCTTCAGTAAAATTAATAATATTCTTAAGACGCAGAATTACATCAAGTTGGAATCAAATTCAACTCTCGTGTGTTATAATTGTAAAGATCGTGTTTGCAAAATCAAAGCGACGCTGCTTCATATAATCATGTTAGAACGTCAGAAGTCATGTAGTAAAAAGTGTAGAACGAGAATTTCCAGATTCTAATTTACAATAATGTATTTAATTATTAATATCTTTTAAAACGGAGTATAAAACAAAGGAAACATTACCTGTTTTACAGCAAAATAATCGATGAATTACAAGTATACTCATTTCACAGATAGAAATTTGTCGTGACACTATGTGTTGTTATTGATCGTATCACATATTTTTCGGCTATTTATATCCATGAGTCAAATAGTTTGGAAAGTTCTAGAATTATTTATTAAATGCGAGGGAGATCTTTCTTTAGAAGAGAAAAGAAGAAGAAATTCTTTCTGAGAAATTAAAAAAACTCGCATATATTCATGGGTTTAATATAGCCTATAAACCGATGAATAAATTAAATACAATTATTAAAACAGGAAAAATATGTGATACGACCAATAACAACACATAGTGTCATGACAAATTTCTATTTGTGAAATGAGTATACTTGTAATTCATCGATTATTTTGCTGTAAAACAGGTAATGTTTCCTTTGTTTTATACTCCATTTTAAAAGATATTAATAATTAAATTATTGTAAATTAGAATCTGGAAATTCTCGTTCTACACTTTTTACTACATGACTTCTGACGTTCTAACATGATTATATGAAGCAGCGTCGCTTTGATGCAAACACGATCTTTACAATTATAACACACGAGGGTTGAATTTGATTCCAACTTGATGTAATTCTGCGTCTTAAGAATATTATTAATTTTACTGAAGATGGTCAGATTGTGACCGAAACGTTTAATGTTTTTATTGTAATTCGTAATGCAAGAATAATTAAATATCACTAACTACATCTTGTGCTGTGGTTCTTTATGCTCTTTCTTTTCATATTTTCATTATACATTCGTATCTCCTTTCGGGAGATAATGGCAAACATCGAAAGTGTACCTAAAGCCCAAGAACAAAGAAGGATGTTAAAAAGAGGCCGATTTTTGCCCAAAGATGTAAGTAAAAGGAATAGCGTTTTTTGTAATAAAAGTTCGGGATCGATAAGGCAACACCTTAAAAATTGGATGATATATTTGAACATGATATATTTGAACAAATTTCAATATTTTTATTTACTTTTTCAAGGTGTTCCCCAGCCACGAACTTTTTAATAATTTTATCATATTCAGAAAGTCAAAATCTACAAAAAAATATTATTTCTTTTACTTACATCTTTTTAGGCAAAAAACTGCCCTTTTTTGAGGAATATTAAAAAAGATCCGATTTTTGTCTACGTTCGGAATCGACATTAAATGTAGGTCCCATATAACTGTATAACAGTGTAACGCACCACAGACTATGCTAGAGAAGTTACCAGCTAGAACTTATCTTCTTGTGTGCAGTTGAGTTGATCGATAATAAAGCAACGCTGTGAGATATGGCACGTTCCAAGGCATATAAAAACTTGGCGTACCAGCAATGCCACTGAGCGTCAATAGAAAAATCATCAGATCAATAGAAAAATGGCCAGAAAAGTCCATTCTGCGATCAGAACGATCATATTTAAAAAAAAATTTTTTTAAATCTTTAGCAAATTGTACTGGGATTTCTGGAATTATACTTCAAATATGCTAAATTTCTTTGGTTGAAATTTTAAAAGAATCGGATTTTTAGGATTCGATATTCAAAAAAACATTAATTGCCTTTATTTTGCAGATGTTATTCATCATAATGCACGAAGAATTCGCTTTAAAGACTGCACATTTAATTCAGTCCACAGATATTAGACACATAAACTACTTGAACATAGTACCTAGCATGAGTAGGAAAAAGTCAATTAGACGAGGTATATGTATAGATATATTAAGAAATATATTTTATCTTAAAAAAATAATCATTAATCTTCTTATTTCTTGTAACTCGTTTTAGAAACGTCGTTGCTACAAGACATATCCTCTTCTATGGTATCAGGATTATCCTCAACCAGAATATCTTTCAACTTATAATTATATACAATAGCCGGAAAATTATATATAATTGTTGCTGCTAACTATTCGTTGCAATATAAGGATCTGCGATCCTCCTGAACACTGCTAGAAATTTGTCTCCTTCGTTTCTGGTGACTTTCTTACCTTCCTCAGTGCTTTCATATAATTTTTCCACTACAGGATCCGCTGCCTGTCTCGAAAATTTGTCAATGTTACCATTATATAAAGAAAAAAGAAATAAAAACAGTTGTACTTACCAAATCCTGCTTAGTAACTTCTTCAAACAATGGATGTTCTTGGAAATGTTGAAGTATCCATTTATGTAGATCTTCTACATCCGTTACAGTATATACAATAGCCTATGTAATAATAATTTAAAAAAATGAATTCTTATAGAAGTAATATATAACAAGTATTATAGCTGATATTCATAGTCTGTTCTTATATTTAGTTCTTATATTTAAGATTGATCTTAAGTATGATCTTAAAATGTCATAAATCAATTTCAGAACCACACATATTATCATCTTAAGACATTACTTAAAATGATCTTAAAATAAGAATGATTATGAATACTAAATTATGAATACTAGTTTATAATAAATTCGTAAGTAGAAATAATATAAAGTATAAACGATACTTACTCCCTCGGCTAAAACATAAGCGTATTCTGCCAGCAGAGATTTATTTATTATCCTCCATTTATGTTTCGATTTCTTGAAGTGTGGATCTGGATATAGGAAAAACATCTTCTTTAGCTACACAAATAAAAAGATACAGATTAATGTGTAAGCTGTTCCATCCTTTAATGTATATCAATAATTCCCTCTATTTACCTGTCCTTTATAGAAATAATTTGGCAGGTACTTCATGGCGTTTGTTCTTAAACAGGCAATATTCTGATATTGGCCAGGATTTTGTGATCGTAAAGCAGCAATGCGATCCATAACATAGTCTGATACTTTCACTCTAATTTCCATGCCGAGTATCAAATTATCCGGGAACATTGGTGACAGAGTAACTGAAGATTAATTCATCAATTATTTTGATTTTCTGGTTTTTACATTCTTTTATAAATTATCTGGTAGAAATTAAAACAGTAGTCATTCTGCCACCTCACAATTTATGTATATATTTTTATGTATATATTTTTCATTTCCATATAACATTCATATAAATCTTGTTTGTATATGTAATAAATTAAATTAAATATATTAAAGAGAAAAGAAAGAACAAATTACCCAGCAATCCTCCATAGCCACAACCAACGTCTGCAAATTCTACATGTTTCTGCCTTTCTAGTGTCTGCTCATCATTACTTTGAAAATACTGTGGATATAAGGTACTCCAATCCATTAACTCCGGTTTTATCGGACTGCAATGATAAATGATAAACGGTAATGATAATTGTTGTAATCTTATAATCATAATTAGTTATTAATTGTTATAATAAACAATTTATAGAAAACTACTCACTATTCAATGCAATGATCGGCTATCGGATTCGAATGCGCACGTTGTCTATAATATTTCTTTTGCGGTAATGCCAGCGTCGTCGTCATGATTACGATACTGCTAATATTTTTAAGTCGAAGGAACACTGCAAAACGTGTTATTCTTCCTTTACCAACGTAACATGTCAAAACATAAATATATTTTAAAAGGTTATATCTAGCCAATAACACACATCTCTTTTAATCACTGCATCTTGTTCCAGCACTTCAAAGAAATTGTATTTTAGCATTTCGGAAACAAAGAAAAACAGAGTATAATTAAAAAAGACAGATTTTTTTTTTAATATTTAGAACAAAACGAGAATGCAAGAAAGAATGAACGCAGAAATGTAAAGAAAGTACGGCTTAATTAAAACCGCTCAACAATGTAATGAATCTGTTATCCTTACATGCCACGAATTGCTAATAACGAAGGCCTGAATATGGATCTATTTGTATATTTTCCAAATCTGTAGTATTTGTATATACATTTGTTACATACACGTGTATATATATTTGAAGTGCAGAAAAAGTGCGGCTCGCACGTGCGCGGGACGATCAGCTGATCGAGCGCGCCACCTGTGCCGCCTGGCGGACGACGGCAGCACTAATGCATAACGCGGCGTGAAAGAAAGACAATAGACATGCCTTTGCGCACGGTGTAAGATTCTCTCTTTTGTTATATTGCAGATGCGTCGTCATCGTCTTCCTCCATCGCCGCCGCGCGACCTTGCAACGTATCAGTGAAATATGTAATCGCGGGTGGGAATCGTGATTCATTTATGTAACGCACGACGCGGATCGACGCCGGTTTTGGAGAGCGGTGGACTCCTCGGGGGAATCCCTCTGTCCAGGTGAGGTTAGGATCTCGCAGCTCCGTTCCTGCGACATTGCTTCTTTGTGTCTCGTCTCCTCTTGGGTCCGCGATGAATCAAGATATATATTCGCGTACTTACGTCATCCTACGCGGACGCATCTTTGTCCGTTGCGAACGTTTTGTGTATTCAGATAAGAAAACGAGTTGGAAATGACTGCGGCGTTGCGGTGACAGGAAATTGTCTGTCTCCCTGATGACAAGTGTCATTTTCTAGAAATGAGCGTATCAAATCAAAATGTTATGCTATTCATGATTCATGTTGTTGAGTTATTTAATTATACTTACCTTATAAAGATTTAAGTAAATGGCTAATTATTTCATCACTAGGCGTAAATTCTTTTTGAAATAGTAAAAATGGCGAAGAGAACAGGGGAGAAAGAGGAGTACAAAAAGAGAGAGAGAGAGAGAGAGAGAGAGAGAGAGAGAGATTCTGAGCATTCATTCTGAGAATACAATGGAATCTGTAAATTAGATTTATTTATACTGAAAGAAGATTGTACTAAATAATAAATAATTAATAGTTCTAATTGAATATTTATTAAATGTAAATATATATATTTATGTTTGGTACAAGGACCATTAATTTGACTCAACTCTTATATTTTTTATTTAGATATAAATATTTATTTTCTGTAAATAAATGTTACCTATACAACACAGATAATTCTAGTAATATCGCAGCAACGTTGCAACGTTCCAGAAATATTGTAATAACAAACGTTGCAGTAATGTTGCTACAACACTTTTGTGAAATTATATTAATATTATTTAAATAATTATTTATTAAAATTCATCTTTTGTTGTTAATGTAATATTGTGAATTGTTGGCAAATATAGGATGATTATTGTTTAATCTTTAGATATTACAACTTTTTGAACAGTTATTTAAATCTCTTTTCATTATTTCAGGCACGAAAGAGGTTTATTTATTATTCATGACGACATCGAACCTTTTGAGAGAACGCTGTTTCATTTAGTTGGTAAGTCATCTTTTTCATTTATTCGACCAATGTTAAAATTAATTCAATTACGTGCAGATGAAAAGAAATCATATTTTAACGGAACTAATTATAATCATAAATGAATTTAAGAATTTTAATTTTGCGACAAAAAATTCCTTTTTTGGAATTCACTGTCAAAAATATTAATTTAAGAGATTTATTTATATCTATACAATCTAATTTGCACACTTCAATTATTAGCGTCAATTTTTATAACGCTATTACATTTCTAAATTTTTAGTTTAAAGTTTGAGAAGTTGCGAAAAGAAAAAATTCAATAAGTTGAATAATAATTATTGTGAATCTTTATTATAAATTAAAATATTGTGTTAATTTGACATAATAATTAATTGTTATCAATTAATGATTATTTACTATATAATTATTCCTAATTAATATTTATCGTATAGTTAACAGTAAAAATAATTACCGGACTAAAAAATGTAATCGCACTCAACAATTATATAGTTGATCTACTTGCATAAAATTAATACTGATATTTATGTTTGCGCTTCATCCATGTAGAAACATCGTACGATGCATTGATTGCATAAATAGAATGTAGATAAGTTCCAAGAAAATTGCATAATGCGATTGGTATTTACGCTCCAATCGATGATCGTTAAATCGATGAGAAAGATTGTTAGTAGATATGTACTTGTATATATGAGTATTTTCTCAAACTGCATGTCGATTGATTGATTTGTACCGATGGGAAAGTACAAGAGTCTTATGCACGAACTGATAGTTTCTCTTATGCACGAATTAATAGGAAAACTGATAGTTTTCATTAGTTATAGCAAAATTACCGAGTGCAGATAGACGTAGAATTAATAATTTCGAATATTTAGTAATGTCTAAAAAAACACAAATGCAAAGAAACACACTGGAAAAAGAGTTTAGTAATTAATTGGAATTCACGTTGAAAATCGACAAATTAGAATTTTTCTGGTTGAATTTTTATAGTTTTATTATAATTTAGTTGAAATAACCAGAATTTTTATTGATGTAATGAGAATCTTCTGATTCATTTTTTAATCAGAAAATTTTCTCAGTACAGAATTTAGCTAAAAGAATTGTTAACTAAAAGGCTTATTGCAATAAGAGTTAATTAAAGATAAAACATATTGTGTATCATTATGAAGCAATAAATATTTTTTAGATAAAAGATATATAATAAAAAATAAATAAGATAATATTTCTCACTGATTGGTTTCAGTGGTTGTTAATATTATCAAAAATTTTGCATTCGAATTTTTTTATGAAGTAAAATGAATGCAGACACTATTTTTGGACGAGACAAATCGTCTTACTTTTACTATTGTGACATAATTGTACGCAACCGTGTTGTGTTTGTTGCGTTCACACTTGGAGTACTTGGAGTAACTTGAGAACCGCTGGTTCATGCGAACCTCGCGTGCCGAATACGACAAAGCCTGTGAGCGATCGTATGTAAATATAAATCGGATGACATACAACTCTAGTTACTCGTCGAAATCGTAATATACAAAACTGTCTGTCGCGAAGGAGAATGTACGAAGACGACTCAGAATCCGAATCTAACAATAAGAATATCTCTGTAAAATGGAACATGTCATGGGATCCTAGATTGTGGTTCAACTCCGTAGATCCCAATTTGGTAAATACTTTTGAAATTGATT